AATATGGAAGTTCATTCGAGAAATCACTATACCTTAACGATCTATTTGAAAATTAAATAAAAAAAGGAAATTGAACGGAGATGGAAATTGAATAAAAATAGAAGTTGAATAAAAATAGAAACACAACCAACCTGTAACAAACCTGCGTAACACATCCTATAACTCAAATACAACAGTAAAAAGGATGTAAACAAGATAATAAACAACTACCAACATCCACGGACACATGTCCGGATCACTGTACAACAAGGGTAAACCCGGGATCGCTATAAATTTCTTGTCACATGACAATCTGAAGCTTTTAATTTACAATTACATATTGAAACTCAAATTAGAGAATGAAATGAAAGAAAATTGAGAGGAAGTAATACTGATACATTTTCTTAAGTCTCTTTCTCAAATCAAATTCATCTTATCCTACATCAAGCCCTAACTATAAATCATTTCGCACTCCCTTCTCACCGCTGACAATTGCCTTTTTTAGTATCTTTTTCTAATGCCTTTCTCTGATCGCCCTTACAACTTTCAACCCAACAACGCAATTTGCTAGAGCTCCTACATATATTCTCCAATCTATACTTCTGTTAACTAAACTAACTCTTTGTGAATAATATCCTCAAATTGTTAATTTTAAAGTTAAAGGAGATATTTGTAATTTTAAAGTAGGGGATTTTTTATCCTGATATGGTTAACTTTAGTTTGACATAGTACAATATTTGAGCCAATTTCTTTTGCCCCAAGTTCAACTATTTTAAGTTATATATATTTTTGACATATATTTGAAATAATTACATAACATTTTAACCATGACATTCTTTTGTATGACATTTATGTTTTGTTTGAATAATGAATTTAGGAGAAATAAAATGAAATTAACTAAACATATGATATATTATTTTTTTTTATAACAATTATCTTTTCTTTTCTTTCACTTCATTTTATTTTCCTACGGTCTTTTTGTTTTTCATGATTCTTTTATTATGTAAATCCAAGATCCAAACAAAAATTTAAGTCCATGATAATAAATTTATAATATTATAATAATTCCAATTATTTTGTCTTAACATGAAACATAAAAGTGACAGATTAATTTTACTTGAATAATACCTTTGCACCTATTTGATAGATTGTTATCTATATGCATATTTGCTTCTTTTTTTCTTTTTATTTTGGAGAAGCGTATTTGCTTGTTGTAATAAAAAAAAATTATATTTTCTTGAATTAATTTATCTAACAATATTTAGTTTGTCTTACACTTATAACTAGGTATCATAAGATTAATAAGAAAGATGGACCATTTTGGTCAAGTGAATCATTTGACTCTTTAATAATAATTTATAAGAACATGTTAATATTGCAAAATAAATAAATAATAAGCTTATCCAGGCTCGTTTACTTAAAAAATTAATTTCAAGCATATTAGAGTTACGCTATAATTTTAAGTCAAGTTACTTGGCTCATATTCATACTTAATTACATGAAAATTATGATTTTGGGATCAAACTAATTTTTTTATGAATGATATATATGAAGGGCCTACAAAATAAATTGTTTGGATTATCGGGTCTTGTGGTGGATCCCATGGACTCTCAAGTTCTCTCAACTTCAGATTTAAACTTGAGAGAAACCTACCCCAATAAAAATCATATGATAGTATGGCTAAACTCAATTTTTATACTCAATTCTCTTGTATTTTAAGGGTATATTATTCCCTTTTTTTTTTACTCTTTCACATTATTTGTTACCATTAATCACTTAATTTATAATAAAAAATGATAAAAAAAACTTGTCATTTTCTTATATTTTTTTTCACCAATCATTGCATCCAAACAGAGTATTCCTCTAATTTTTTCCTTTTCTTTTTTGTTGGTTTTCCAATTACGCTGTCATGACTGTGATACAAGCAACAGACATGTAGATCTAGCTACTAGAACGAGGAGGAAAAGAAAAGGGCGGAGGAACAAACTCACTCTTCGGTGCTTGGCGCGGAGGACCTCCGGCGAGTTCTTGTAGAGATCTTCATCAACAGCTTTCGAAGCTTTTCTCAGCAGCGGAGGATGCGATGGCGAAAGCAAAAACAGGTCTCGGCAGTGGCAATGGGCAGCGGCGATGACCGAGAAAGAGAGAGAGAGAGAGAGAGAGTAATTTCTGAAAACGTTTGGGCTGAAGAAGGGGTCAGGGATTTCTCAAAAACAATTAAGAGGGAATTATGATTTTGACCAAATTTAGAAAATTATTGGGAAAATTAGTCTAGGATCCTTCTCCCACTTTTCGTAATGGAAGAGATCCACAAAATTATTTTTTGATGTCTAAGGTCCCTAAACATATATCAGAGAAATTTGACTTTTGTCTCTCTCTCTCTCTCTCTCTCTCTCTCTCTTTCTTTCTCTCTCTCTATCTACCTCATTTTGATCACCACCACCAGATGCCCTTCTTTCTTCGACTTTCGCAAATCGCTGATCACAAAGCCTCTATCTTATTTCTCTTTCGCAAATAGTAGAGTAAAGAACAAAAGTAGATCGCCGAGTTCGATGGATCACCGCCGACTACGCCACCAGGTGGAAACAACGACTCTTGGGATCTGGTTTACGAGGCCACGGGACAAGTGGCGAGGTTGAAGATGAACGATGAAGGGCCTTCCAAAGCCAGAGGCCTTCTCGGCCCTCCTTGGTCTCTCTCTCCACCGCCACTGAAAAACATCAACACCTCTTTCTATGCCAATCAGTGCCTCTCTCACAACCTCTCACAGTCCAATCATGTGAGTGAGTCTTATAATGTGTGTATATACTTGTTCACTCTTCTCATCTAGTTTGTTGATTTTTGGGTTTTGTTTTTGTTTTGTTTTGCAGTTTGAGCAAGCGAGACATGACCAAATGATGAAACAACAGTGCTCTTCTTCGATTTGGGGAAGGCAAACTAGAGAAATTTTGTTTTCACTGCAAAACCAGCTTCAGCAACAGATGATGGGTCAAAACAGAGGAGGGAGAGTTGTTAATGGAGGTGGATTCGAGAATAATAATGGAAGAAATGCGAGGCCACTGGGTTTGCCTCAGTCTGCATGGCCTCCTTTGATGGATGAGGATTTTGATGCTGCCAATGCTTCTATTCAGAAGGAGATTTAGTTGGTGGGCTGGTGTGAAAATGAAGGTATGGGTGAGCAAACGAAAGAAAATTGTGTTAGTTTTTTAATCAATTTTTTCTGATTGAGTCAACGTACAAAGAAAATGGTTAGTAAATTAGAGAGAAATTCTGGAATTTTCAAATTTCTCTAGGTTCGTTTTGACCAATTTTTTCTGGGTTTAAATTCATATTCAAATTTCTCTGGGTTCATTTATAAACCAGAGAAAATTTAAATTTCTCTGGATTCATTTTAAGTAATTTTCTCTGGATCAAAAAGACACATTATTTTATGAAATCCAGTGAAATTCCTGAATACATCTTCAAAAAACTAATCATCACATAAGTTTGTTCCAACAACTGTTAATAAGTTAAACCAAATCAAAATCAAATTTGAAGTTACTTATGATTGTTTATTTTCCCTTCCTTTCTCAAATCAGAGAAATTTAAAAGTAGCTATGAGAATTTCCCAAGCTACAAGTTTCTCAGTGAAATTTCACACAATTGTGAGAGATGCTCTCAAAAAGCTTCTTTCACAGAACCAGAACCAACAACAACGCTCCATATATAAATCAGAGAATTAATTACAAATTTCTCTGGAGATGTAATTTTGTGAAAAGGCAAAGAAATTTCTCTAGGAGAGTGGGAAGTATATGGAAGGCAGAGAAATTTGGAGAATGGGAGGGCAGAGAAATTTGGGAAGCTTAGGGAAGATTAGAGAAATTTTCAAAATTTCTCTGGAAAGTCCAGAGAAATTCTACCAATTTTCTCTATGACGTGAATTTTCTCTGGACAAATTTTCTCTAGATCAACTTGAGGGACCTTAGACATTATGAAAATATTAGATGTCCTTTATGTTATAAAATCTTAATATGAGGGACCTTAAAAAAAAAAACCCAAAATTATTTGGGGGAATTATGGTAATAACAATTATAAAAAAAAATTATTCATGAATACAGTCTTATAATAAAATAAATTATTTTATATTCAAATTTTTGTGTTTATTTTTAATATAAATCATTTATTTATTTTTATTAAGTAAAATCGACAATAAAAAAAAATTACTTATCAACTACAAAATGTATAACTACACCACTAATTAGCATAATAAAAATATTTAAAATTTTATAAATCTCAAATATCATGATCAAGTCACAAAATTTTGTAACATAAAACACAAAATACATAACGCCATCAGTTATTGGTGTAACAAAATTGTTCAAAATTATATAAAACCACAAACGTCATAACTAAGTTACAAAATTTCGTAACATCAACCAAAAATTGCGTAGCTATCCACTAATTGGCGTAATAAAAACATCTAAATTTTTTAAAAACTACAAATGTCATAACCAACTCACAAAATTTAGTGACATCACCTAAAAAATGCGTAACTATACCACTAATTGACATAATAAAAATAATCAATAATTTTACAAAACACAAATGTCACAATCAATTTATAAAATTTTATAGTATCAATCATAAAATGCATAACTAATTGACATAACAAAAGTATCCAAATTTGTTATAAACCACAAAAGCAACAAAGTTTCGTAACAATTATTATAAAATGACTAACAAATCACTAAAAATCTTAGAATCACCAATAAGGATCTCTCATGTTCCAGAGAAAACAAAATGTAATGATAATCATTAAATAATTTAATCAATGACTTAAAGCCCTAGAATAGAAAACGAGAGTCAAAGAAGATTAACCAGTAGAGCGACAGGAAAGGGACTATGAGAAAGAGAGACCGAATGGGCTTACCGCCTGTGAAAAGGACATCAAAGATGGTGTCGTTTCCAAGAAGGAACATCGGAGATATCTATAGTTGACAGTAAGGAATGAGAGAGATCTTGAGGGATGAAGAGGACTGAGATAACGGAACAGTACAACAAAATGAGTAATATTCATTTTTCAACAGTTCTATAACGCATGTGTGTGTATGTACAAATTGATAATAACAAAACCTTTCAAATCATAAATAGGGCCAAAGGTTTGTGTATGTATAACATATTAATGTGAAAGAGCTAGAGTTTCAGGATAGATGCATTTAGTAGATAGAGAAATATCACCATCAATAGTGTTGAAATAGATAGAGAGAGCAGTGACGAGTTCAAAGATCTATTGCAGAGACACAGGAGTAGAGACAGAAAGAATCCAACGAGGAAGAACTATCAACGATGGCCGTTCAATAATCTGAGTGAAATAGAGAAGTCTGAGTAAGAAATAAAGAGAGCTCGAGCATAACTAATACAAATCAAGGGAAATAAATAGAGCAAAGAAAAAAAAGAAGAAATGTTGGGAAAAAAATTTAGAAGGAAAATGATTTAGTAGAACAAAATAAAATCACGTCGTAGATAATTTTTTCAACATATTTTTTTTTAAAATTTAGTTAAATTATATATATATATATATATATATATATATGTTTATATGTGTATATAGATATTTTAAAAAGTATACTATTTGTATATTACTATCCCTATTACATTCAATAATGATACTATGACTAAAAATAAATCTAAAATAGAGATATGTGATCAATTACAACTGTCACTTAGGGATGAAACTTTAAAATTAATTGAGAGAGTTGAGAGTTGAGAGTTGAGAGTTGAGAGAGAATGAGAGTTTGAGAGAGAGATTTGTTTGTGAGAAATAAAATGAGAGAGGGGTGGTATTTATAGAACTTGGGGGAGAGAGGGGTTAATTTATAAAAAATAAAAACTAAAAAATTGGTTGTTGGTGGAATTAATGGTCATATGACCGTTTCAATTTATTTATTTTTTTTAATTTTTGACTGTTACACTTATAGGGGGTAGGGAATCGGTGAGGTCGGGTTGGGCCAAGTGGGGAAAAAATTTTTAGGCCAAGTTCAAGAGTTGGGTCGCGCTCCACAACACAGTCGGGCCAGGCTGAGCTCTAGAACACAAGGCCTAGGGTCTCAAGTTGGGCTTAAGTCCGGGCCTAACTAGGCCCACCCAGGGCACGGGCGGGCTTTTGGTGTGCCGTGAGCTTGTGGGCCAAATTTACACCCCTATATGTGGGGAATGGTTATGGGATATGTGATTAATGGTTATGAGATATGTGATGTTGGTTATGATCAAAGTGGTATAGTTATGAGCCAAATGGTATTGGTTATGAGATATGTGATTAGTGATTATGAGCAAAGTGGTGTAGTTATGAGATATGTGATATTAGTTATGATCAAAATTGAGTGATTATGAGTCAAAGAGTGTTGGTTATGAGATATGTGATTAGTGTTTATGATATATGTAATGTTGGTTATGAGGCAAATTGTGTTGGTTATGAGATGTGGTTATCACATATGTGGATAAAGGTTATGAGATATATGATTAGTGATTATGAGATATGTGATTTTGGTTATGAGGAAAGTGGTGTAGTTATAAGTCTAAGGGTCTTTGGTTATGAGATATGTGATTAGTGCTTATGAGATATGTTATGTTGGTTATGATCAAAGTGGCGTGGTTATGAGATATGTAATTAGTGGTTATGATATATGTGATTTTGGTTATGAACCAAATAGTGTTGGTTATGAGATATGTGGGTAATGGTTATGAAATATATGATTAGTGATTTTAAGATATGTGATTTTGGCTATGAGCGAAGTGGTATGGTCATGACACTACAACATATAAAAGTTTTAGAAACCAAATTTTTTGGTCCCTAAAAATGAAAATTTTGTTGCAAAAGATATTTAGGGACCAATTTTTATCGTCGTGAGGATAGCCGTTAAAAGGTCGTCTCAAAAAGTCAAAAACAAGACTTTTAGCGACAAAATTTTAAAAATGTCACTAATAAAGACACTTTTAGGGACAATAATTTGGCCTAAAAAAGGTTTATTCTTTTAGACAAAAAAAAAATTTGGTCCCAAAAAGATAATAATTTATCACTAATTTTCAATTTTCGTTGCTAAAAATATAATGAGGACACTTTTCGCAACAAAAATATTTAGTCTCTAAAAAATAATTTTGTTCCTAAATTTTGGTTTCTAAAACTTTAATTTTTTGTAGTGTGAGTCAAAGGGTGTTTGGTTATGATATATGTGTTACTGGTTATGAGATATGGGATATTGGTTATGATCAAAGTGGTGTGGTTATGAGCAAAAGGGTGTTGATTATGAGTATGTCACTAGTGATTATAAGATATGTGATGTTGGTTATGACTTGTAGCACTTGTGTCCTATAAATTATTAGAGAGTGTATTTAATTCCTTTACTTTCATTTTGGAAGTCTTTGGAGTTGTTGTATCTTGGTTTTGAAGGAGTACAATTCGATTTAGACTTGTTGGAATTGTTCGTTCGCGCTTGTTTACGTTGAAAAGTCCTTTGGGAACTTGAAAAATTTGTTCTGTGTCAACATTAGTCTTCCTGCGGGTTGACACCACCTTGTTGCTTTGCTTTTAGTGTCTCTGCTGGTTTGTAGGGTCGACACCACGGGTCCCAGGATCGACCGATGTCTACTGCTGTGTTCTGGGTGTTGTTACTGAAATATAGGGTCGACACCACTGGTTCCTAGGGTCGACCCATGTCTACTGCACACATTAATGTCTTAGCTTTTCTTCTTGAGGGTCGACCCCTATGAGTTATTTTCAGAAATTTTGGTTCGGTTTTGGGCCCAACTTTTGGGGTTTTTGACTTATTCTTTTCATGGACTTTGGGGCTATTATTCTATTAGTACCTAGCCACTATAAATAGACTCCAAAATACTCTTCCCTCATTATTTCTTTTCTCTTTCCTTCTCTTTTCCCTCTTTTCATCGTGAATCTCTTTCTCTCTCTAAACTCAACTTTTTCACTTAGATCTCTAGATCTACTAACGTAGAGGTATCTTTTCACCTTAGTCCTTTGAGAAAGGTTGTAGATATCATCAAGGGCTTTCTTTTGATCCAAGAGTTTTGTGGTTTTATCGACTTTGAGTTTTCTAGAGTTCTCCTCTTCACTTCAAGAGGTAGGATCTATTTCCTAAACTCAAATATGAGTTCGGTAGCATATTTGCGGCGCATTTTGTTATTTATATTTGGTAGTCATTTGGTATGATTTTTACCCTAGTT